TTTCGCCGTGAAAAGAACGCGCGACCTAAATTCTGCGTTCAGAGGTTCCGCAGCTGGAATTTCGTATGAAGCCGGTACGGTTATGCTGACGCAGGAAAGATGATAAACGACGGCGACACAAGGAATTCGGAGAAAACGATAAAACTCGCTGAATTTACAGCATTCATGCGAAATTCCACGCGGAGAAAAACGCGATGAAACACTCGTAAGGTTCTCGCGATCCGACTAACCGTGGAAAAGCGTATTTTCTGGCAAAAATTTCACAGCGATGTTTAGAATATTGGATGAATGCAAAAGCTGTAATGGATTTGGGTATACATAAACCAGCAATATTACTGCCCAAAAACTAATTTATTAAATGTGCAAATTAAATTAAGTATACGTATATGCAATACAACCTCCAGTATATAAACAATGAACACCCATAATGTCAATACTTGTTATCTGAAAGTTCTGTAGTGTGTGTTGGGTTTTTTATGGATAGAAACACACCTTTTGTTGCTAGATACTTAGAAAAGTTAGGATTTATTCTCGTTATTAACTCGATACACGTGCGCATACAAAAACGTTACGAAAAGACAAAAGGCAACTGCCTCATGCAGACCGAATAGCCATCTGGTGGCCACTGACATAAATTAACATTTTGAATATCTATTTTAACAGTATGGACCACGATCTTTTTCTTATTAAAATGCTATGTGTAAATATGCTAATTGTAAGTTCATATATGCACCAGAGTTCAGCTGACGGCCCGTTTTCTCTAGATTTAAGTAGCTAATACATAGATGGGCAGCAGTCGCCTCGCCCTACGCTAGCCGCTTGCATTGGCGTAGCAAAATTATACATGACGAGGTAATAAAGACGCTCTCGAATACCGATGAGAGCGTATCGATTCACCAAAACTTTTGAATATATCGAAGAGCAAGACTAATTTGTTACGACACTTTAAAGATTTATTACGACTGATTTATCACGACCCTAAAAAATTGCATTTTATATAGAACAAGCAATTTTATGCATATGTTGATGAAAATAAATTAACCTTTTCTAAATACTAATATTACGGCCTGTACGAGAGCCTAATTAAATAAATATACATGTTCTGTAACCGCAAATTTTTCCAATGGACCATTTTGTACTTATAATCCGGCTTTCTATCGCGACATACTATTATCTCTTCCTAAAAATAGAAATGATTTGGTTAACCTGTTTTACAATACCCCTATGGCAATAGGAAAACTTAATTAAACAAATATGTATGTAGGTTGTGTAAAATGTAATCGCATGGCTATTTAATGGTTAATTTTCTGATCTTATTCGGCTATTTATTTACTGCCGTTTACAAAGTCTTCAAATTAGAAAAGAATTTACAATGAATCAAAAACTGTTCAACATAATATATTTAGAAAAAGAAAATAAAATTTATTTTCATTAACACATGCATTAAATTGCGTGTTCTGTATAAAATGCAATTTTTTAGAAGCGTAATAAATCAGTCGTAATATTGAGTCATGTGTGTTGGATTCGCGCGCGTCTTTATTACGTCGTCATGTATAATTTTGCGACGCCAATGCAAGCGGCTAGCGTAGCGCGAAGCGACTGCTGCCCATCTATGTATTAGCTACTTAAATCTAGAGAAAACGGGCCGTCAGCTGAACTCTGATATGCACATACATATATTTTTTCTATAGGATAGAAAGTGTCTAATGAACGTGAAGAATATGCAATAATCTTATCAAACAGAAAATGTATTTATAAAATCAACTAAAAATTTAGAAACGTGCCATTCACAAATATTTATCTAAATTATGTGATTCAGCTGCAAAACAAAATTTGGATTTGGTTGCTCGAACATTATTAACAAAAAAAATTGCAAGACATTAGGTTTATGATTATGTATTGTATATAGGGAATTATACAATTAATTGTAAGACAGAAACGGAAGTTCTATCCCACTTTTGTAGTGAAAAAATAGTTCTAATATTTTATTCACAAATCTATTCTTTACACTTTCTTGATCCCGAACTTGGCAAGGAGATTAGTGTTACGATTTTTAAGATTCTATATTTAATTTATACTGTTTTAATGTTCTTTAAGGAGAAAAATGAAGTTCAATTACTCAAGTTTACACACACAGAAACGTTCATTTTTATACAACCGTTTTATATCGACTCTACAGTATATCCAACCTAATACCGTTTTGTTTCAAACATTGCCAATATGACAATATTTTGACAATTAGAATTTCCAAATGTGTTTTCCAAATGGGGGATTGAAATTCATTAAAATAATCAGTTGCTAATGAAAATAGGCCTTAGTATGTTTTCAGGGTCACTAATTCCGAATCACTCTAGTATAATTAATATTAATACCTAAACACATTAAAGTTAATGCATTTGTTCTATTTCATTTGTTATATTTATTTTGAAATTAATTTTGTTATGTTTATTTGGAATATTGAACCTTTTCTGTAAATAGACATTATATATACAATTAAAATATCTCCTAAACTAATGATTTCTTTACACAAATGGATTAGTACGTTTTTGTAAAGAATACGAAGAAGCATCAGCTGATGTAATAAAAAATATATGATTCTATTTAAAAAAAACATTAATGACCTTCATATGTTCTTTACACGTCCACCCACAAAAAAGGTACTATCAGAATGTGCCTCTCTCAAAACCATTCAACTTCATGTGAAACATTGTTTGCTATGCGTAATAATAATGACGTAAATGTAGATGGCAAAATGTAACGATCCACCCTTATACATACGTGTTACCCACAGTGAAAAGGATAAGTACACGTATAATTCAAGCGCTAATCACCTATCATTCTATTGTATAAAATTCTTTTGTAAGAACACACCTTCCTTCTAATTAGTTCATGTAATACTAGTCCCACTATAATAGTAAAATATAAAATTGAAACAAGAAGATTTATTTTAGTAAAAGAGCAAGACAACATTTTGTTTCATATCATACTAACTATATCAGTTAATATCGAGTCATAACAAAGTTCATTAAAAGGCTTGCCCTTTGATGCAAGTACCTGCGTATGTGCATTTGTTAATATGAAAGGTGAATATGAATGGTGGACCAACTGTGGGTTGATAAGTCCCGAATGATCCCTGCTGATGGAAGCTTGACGGGGATATTGCGTTAATTATATTTGAGCAAAATTAATGAAGAGTGTCGGCCGATCGATATATTCTCGAGAGATCACCAGTTCTGATCATACGCCATTTTCCACGGGAAAGCCAACGCGTCTAGAGAATCAGATTGACTCAAAACCTCAACGCGTTGGACGCGTTGGATTAAAGGTCACGCAAAATGTAACGCGAATCGAGATTGATTTCACCAGTATTGACAATCGAGTACATAAAATATCCGACTGANGGCTTAAGCACGAGTCCTTTAATGTTTGCCGAATGCCTCGAATCTCAATCGCTCTTTCTTTTTCACGTTTCTGTCCTTTTCTACGCTCCGAATATTATTGTAAGGGTGACTCAAAGAGTTCCGGACCCACTTTGTAGTTTTGTACGGATACGAGATAAGCCGGGTATTCATCTGAGCACGAATGCGAACGAGGCAAGGCGAGTCCGAACAAATGCCTCGTTTTGTCTCGTTTGTAAAATTTTTCTTCGCGAACGAAGTCTGCCGAGGCAACGAACGAGACAGTGATCCAAAGCGAACGCAGTGAACGATGATCCAGCGAGATAGGCAAGGTACGTGGAACGTAGACGAATGCCGTCCATACGTAACCAAATTTTTCTTTGAAGTACCGACTCCGATCGGCTCGGGTCCCGAATGCCTCAGTCTGTGCGGCGAACAGCCGAATGCAGTTTGCCGCGCCTCGGTTACACGTCCACATATGTATGCTTGTTCGGCCTCGCCTTGCCTCGTTCGCATTCGTGCTCAGATGAATACCCGGCTTTATGTCTTTTAGAAGAGTTCGGTTCGCATAGTCCCCCGTGATGCGAATCTCGTGGATTTAATGCAGACTTTCGTTTGTTCCCGGACGTAATAACGCCGAGTGACTGTCCTTTGCTTCTCATTCCTTACTGTATCCACACGGGGATGAAAATAAGAAAAGGGGTGAATCGGAGAAAAAATGGAAAGGCTCCGGTTTTCTTTGCTCATTTATCTTAAGAACAACATAACTCTGTAACATCTTTAACAGAAGAGAAACGATATTCATCTATAGTCTATGTTCATATCATGGTTCACTGAAGACAAGCTGGCTGGGATATCGAAAATGACAAACGAGAAATTGATTCGACCAGAGGACACGATCGATGAGGATATTTGTCCGGGGTGACGGCAAAAGTCTAGGGATACTAATACAATAACCGGACAGTAACAACTTGAGTCGTTGTACTGGTTGATGGATAATTTTTTGAACTTCTAACTTGTTGATTGAATCAAATGTGTTCATATGAGTGCTGAAAGAAAAGTGGACACTTTTGGTTGTACTTGTCTAGGAAGAGTAAAAGCTCATTATGAATATACGTACACATATTAATTGCTCCTAGTAAATGAAAAAATTTCTTTGTGGATTCGAATATGTGCACATACACATACGCACGTAGGTGTAACGCTGCACATGCTGCGAAATGAATCTGTTTCATTTTCCATCCACTAAATATTTATTTGACGCGCACACTCGTTTTCTTCCACCGTAAATGCGACGATATTCCACGCACGTACGTAGTGAGAGTACATCATTTTACATTCAAATCTCTCGCTGATGTTGTCGACAAATATGAGAAACAAAGCCTCGTCACCAACGGCGAAAGAACAACCAATTTTCCTCGTTGAAATGATTTGAGCACTCGCTGGCCCGATTTAATCAAAGCCTACCAATTTTTATTTACCACTTGCAAATAGTGCATTATAAAAGTACAAAAGGTCAAGTGACGTGAAACTTGTTGCAATCCCTGCTGTGCGAGTGATATAATTGAAACCATTCAATCCTGCATACGAATCTGTTTACAGATCGCAAACGACAGCATGACATACAGAACCAGATACTTAGCCATTCCTCAAGACGATGACTCGTACGTATCGAAATCGACCATCGACTTCAAGGTGGCGGAAGACATGTTTCGGAACGGTCGATTGCACCTACGATGCACCGCCTCTATAGCGGACGTCTATAGGAAATCCGTTGACATCGAAATTACCGAGGATACACCGCGCATCGCTTCGATCAAAGGAGAATCACCACAACAAGGACGTGAGTACAGTTCCTTTTATTTACATTCTATTGTAGTTCATCTTTGATACAAGACAACTTTCTATACATTTGAGTAGAGCCATTTAACGTGAAAGTGCCTCAGGTATATCGAAAATATTAAATTGTTCTTGAGACTGTAATAGGTTCTGCATTAAAATTTCATTTATCTTTTATCTTTGTATTACTAGTGAATCGAAGACAAAAATAGGTATAGTGAAACGCAATCTGGGAATCCTCTGGAACACATACTTCGATTTGTGTCCCACGTATGGACTTCAATTTTACATTTCGCTTTAGGTAGTTAAGACAATTCTTCAATAGATATAGTTAACAGCAGAACTGAATACACGCTATTTAAAATTGAATAACTTTTGTAAAATTGGATCAAACAACCTAAATTTTTTTGAGTAGTCAAGAGGATTAGTTTATTAAATTACGTGTATAAGAAATTGCGAAAAAATTGAAATTAAGTAAAAAGGTAAGGAAAAATGTGAAGGAATTGAAATGTTTTTCAACTTTTTTATCCGGTCTTGAAATGAAAATTTCAGAAAACACGTCTTTCAATGAAAAAAAATATCATTGAAAGAGGTTATCATTCTCATCAGCTAGAATTAATAAGTAAAGTTATCAAAACCGCAAAAATCTATATATTTCGATATCTGTTATTTTTTTCGGTGTCGACGGATTTAAATAAAATTTTCAGTATATACTAATTTCATACAAGTAGCCAAAATAATGTGTTGTTTAAATTATCATCATAACCCGGTATAAAAAAGTTGAAAAAACGCGAGCTTCACATGTTTCCTTACGATTTCCATCAATTTCAATTTTCTGCCAACCTCCTGTACACATCATTTAGAAAACTAATTCACCTGATTACTCAAAAGAATTCAGGCTGTTCGGTCGAATTTTTAAAAGGTTATTCAATTTTAAATAGCATGTATTCAATTTTGCTCTTTACTGTATGTATTTCTAAGAGAGTTGTAGATTTTTTAATTACTACATTGACTATTAGTGAGTAAATTATAATTAATAATTAGTGTTTATTAATTGATAAATAAACTCTAATTATAACTAACTTTTTATTTAAGGATTAAAGTTTAATTTATAATTGGAACCTATTAAATTAAGAATTGAAAATTATAGTTAGTTTACGGTAATCCAGAAAATTCTGATCATGAACTAACATTATTAGCAGAAGATCTTGTTGACATTAAAAATGATAGAAGTCTGAAAAGAACTTTTAATAAGCCGAATAAATCAGAAATTTGTGATAAAAATGTAATCTGAATTTCCAAATATATCACAAAGCGCCATACAAATTTTGTTAGTGTTCTCTACTTTCTATGTATGCAAACTGGGATATTCATCAATAAACAAAATTAAAAATAAAATACGTGGAAAACTACTTTCGGTAGTGTAGGACAAGAACTCAGAACTTCTTTATCTACTATTCGTCCTTGAATAAAGAAATTATGTGATCAAAAACAGGCACAAATATCATATTAGGATTAAATGCTTTTATAGTACTTTTTATTAAATACATTAAATAAAAATAAGCTATTTTTCATATTTAACTTCATTATATTTTTATTTTATATCTGCTACTACTATGTCTCTTGTTATAAGCAGCATACAAAAATTATGGTAATTATAATTTTTAGAATTTCGTTGCACTTCAGAAATTCTATTAAATTTAAAGTGTGTCGCAAACCCTATAGGATTGGGAAACACTGGAATACAGTATCTTTTTCGGATATTTTAGTAAATCATAACACGCACTGCATAGAAGCCGCAGACTTTAGTTACTTTTCTAACAAATACACAAAAATTTCTATTATATTTCCTAACGCTATTCGAATTCATGTACTTCATCGCGAGCAAATGTCGCAGAAAACGGAAAATTCCTCGAGGCATTTATCAGTTTGGTGGATCTAAATTGCTTGTGTTCACGATTGGGAACCGACAATGTAAAAAGAGATGACGAGGCGAGATAACCAGCTCCGAAACTACCCTTTGCGCACGTTATTTTGTATATACCTTCTGTTTAAATATCTCGAAGACCAGCGGTAAAATTTTCGAATCGAGTCAAATAGAACAAAAGGAAACGTCTTTCAGCTTACATTCAGTCGTCCGGATCAACGGTGTTAATTGCGTCGTTCCGATCCAACGAGGCGGACCGGAATAATCGCCGAGATTTTATCTTCCTTCAGATTCACTGGCTACCGATTTTAGGAATTGAATAGAAGATGCGGATTAAAAAGGGTTATTACAGATGTAACTTGGCTCATTCAAAAAGATTTTGAAGAAAGGTAGATTTGTTATAATTATTAAACTAACTGCGACCGTTATTTTCAAAATATTGCATAATATTGCGTATGTATACTGGTGTGAAAATTAGCAGGGAGGATTAAATATTTTTCTTTGGAGGAATTTTTGCGCGCTATACAGGGTGTCCCACGTAACACTTTTCACAATTTTTCAAGTACTTGCCATAGGCTGACAACAAATATTTTCAACAAAAGTTGATCAGTTTTCGATTGGCTGTACATTGCAAGAAAAAAGTTGGAAAGAAAATTTTTTTAGTATTATCAAGGTTGCCATTTTTTTAATTGGCACTATTTTACTTAACGATATTATAAGCCGTATCAAGACGAATTCAACGACCTATACTTACGGTCCCGAGAGTCTAGGAGTGTTTCACGCAGCTTGGAAGGTGGTGGGGATCGCAGCGAACTCCCTCCACACGGTTCAGTATACACGGTAAAGCATTTAGATGCGCAGAACGATAAAAAACTGAACTGTGCCCGCTCCTAGACTCTCGGGACCGCAAGCATAAATAGCAAGACTTTCACGAAATCATTTGCATTCATTTAGTATTATAATGTATTCAGTTAGTAAGTGAATGTAATTACGAGTCTTAATAATAAACACAAATTATCATCCATTCGAGCAGACTATCACTTTTTGTCAAAATTTTCCAAAGGTCATGGTATCTAGATCGTTGAATTCGTCTTGATACGGGCTATAATATTGTTAATCTCCACACGGTTCAGTATACACGGTAAAGCATTTAGATGCGCAGAACGATAAAAAACTGAACTGTGCCCGCTCCTAGACTCTCGGGACCGCAAGCATAAATAGCAAGACTTTCACGAAATCATTTGCATTCATTTAGTATTATAATGTATTCAGTTAGTAAGTGAATGTAATTACGAGTCTTAATAATAAACACAAATTATCATCCATTCGAGCAGACTATCACTTTTTGTCAAAATTTTCCAAAGGTCATGGTATCTAGATCGTTGAATTCGTCTTGATACGGGCTATAATATTGTTAAATTAAAAATACAAAGTGCCATTTAAAACGATGAAGGTGACCTTCACAATAGTAAAACAAAATTTTGTTTCCAACTTTTTTTCTTGTAATGTATAGCCAATCGAAAACTGATCAACTTTTGTTGAAAATATTTTTTGTAAGATTATTGCAAGTACTTGAAAAATCGTGAAAAGTGTTACATGGGACACCCTGTACAGTAAATATTAATTATTGATTTCATCGAAGAATGGTGAGCGTGATTCAAGTACAACATTAAATAATTGTTTAATACACTGTGGGTGCATATACGAGATAATAACATGATCTGTTTATTACTAATGAATGAATGTTCTCGATAAGTTGATACATTTATAACTCGTATTGTTTTCAATTATTGATGCACAGCCAGTTTGTGCAACGATAAAACTAAAAAAATTCGTATATAAAATAGATGCTCTTTAAAAATAGCGACATCATGGATTAAATAGTGGAATAAGGAAATTACGAGAACTTGAAGATTTATAGGTTTATTGCAGGGTGAAGTTTATTCAACTGCCATAGAAGTGTTAGAATGTAGAATTGTGATTGATGACCCGTTATAAGCCCCACTTTATCGTTGTTAACACTTCAAGACAGACGTAGACAGGTGTTGCTTGGAAATCTTTAGCTAAATTCTTTCTTTGATCAATCTGCGCGATTATTATTGCAGAATGTTTTCTCCACTTGTATTAATGACAATTTTGTCAATCAACTTTTTGTCATCTATCCTTAGAGATTAAAATTTCTTTTCATAATGTCAATTCATATTGTCATTTATTATTAGTTATGGTGACCATATTTTTGGGAGCGAAGTCGGGAATGAAAAAGAAGATGGGAATTATAAGATACAAACAGTAAAAAATAATAAAATTCTTGTATCGGATTATTTTATAAATTACTTATTGAGAGAGGAAAAAAAGATTTTTACGAAAATTGTTAGCAATTTGAATTTAAACCAAGCAGCTGCGCAGAGAAATTAGAAATCAAATGAGACGTGAAACAATAAATAATAAAGATTTAAGATTTTGTGATACATCCTCTTTATTTGGAGGGAGAGAGCGAACACAAACAGATCGAAACATTCGTATTCAGTAATAACAACATTTCAAGTTTTTAGACGTCATAGTAACGCAGTTTTTCAAATTTTTTCGAAGTCGCCCGGGTTCACACATGCAATCCATTCAATGTAGCATTCTTATAAATTATTTTTGTTAATTATAATAAAAGTAACATTTGTAATAGTAGTAATAGAGTACGAAACCTAGATTTCAGTTTAAGAGATGATCAGTCCTCTCTTTTTTCACACAAATAAAGTTCGTGGACATTCTCTACAACTCATCAATCTTTATATGAATAATTAAATTTTTATAGGTGCATAGAATTCCACACCGATAGTAATCATAATTTTTCTAATATTTCGAATCTCCGATAACCCCTTTTTGCCCACTTTCATTAAGAATTCACGTCAAATATGCGCGGAATTTTACGGCAGCCCCGTAATGAAGATAATTTCACGGCGCGACGACCGAGCGCAGCGCAGCGGTTTGTCGCGTTGGATCGCAGGATTTCGTCAAAAGGATCGCAATAACTCGTCCTCTTCTGCTGGATCGCCTATCGGACCAGGTATTAAAATTGAAAAAAA